TTATATTTTCCATAATCTTATGGTGCATATTGAAAACCCTCTTTGTATTCTTTACATCCCACAACAATATATGTAAATATATTTTCATGCGTCTAGCCAAAAAATGGAAACAAAGTTCAATCAGAAACAAAGTACATGTCAGTAGAATAAAAACCAAGAGACTTTCCCAGACGACATTGAATTAAAATAAAAATATGGAAAGACCACTGTTTGGAATATTCTGAAATTTTAAAAACAGAGAGGTCTCTAAGAAATGAAAAAGCAAGTTTACCCCGAAAGTCACAGTTTTGGGGTTGAGCCTTTGTCTCTGGATAATTCCTTTGCGGTCAAGAACAGAAGTGGCAATCGAAATGGGCCTCTTTTGTGTTTCGGTTTCAGGCAATCATTGATACGAATTTTCAAGTAAATTCACAATGCAATGCAAATTGCCGAGAGCTTTGGCTCTGCTGCAATTGCGATAAACAATGAGAAAAGCAAGGGTCTTAATTAAATTTGCATACAAAATTTCTGCAGCAGCCTCATCAAAAGTTATGGCACAGCTTCATTTTTTAAATTTAATAGGGGTTCTCTTCCGCTCTGCCACTGAACCCACCTGGCCAGGTAATAGTGGGCCAGACGGCAGCCTGCAGAGGCGGAAGGATCAGCTCCATCGTATGGCTGTCATAAAAGGCAATGATTCTGAACATTGCGTATACGCAGTGTGCAACGCGCCCTATTTAAACTGTTTTTAATGGCGGAGCATGAGCGTGCTGCTGAAAAGTGAGTCACTGGCTGGGTAAATAAGTATCCTTCGACAATCAAACAGAACCTGAGCCAGACATATTGCACAATTGGTTTCCAAGGCAGAGAACGGGGGTTTCAAGAGGAGGTGGCAATTGGAGCCGAGCACTTGCTCTTTTCAATTTTCTGCCTCCTTTGAGGGCTTTATTTTTTAATGGCGTGCGCTAGTGCGCTTGGTTTTAAGAATCCATTGAGTCATTGTATCTACCTTGTAATATGAAAATCGCTTTGGCAAAACTACTTGATTGTTGCTTGCACTTTATACTCTGACCATTTTCCGGTCGGTTACCTTTCGAAACTGACTGCGCTGAAAAATAATCTTAGGATTAACTTTGCTTCCTTTTTGACAAAATAATGATTTGACTTTGCATAATTTTGTATGCCAGTAGAGGATAAAGTATCTACAGTATACTTAATTTCTGTTCAGCGACAAGTCATAGAAAATAGTGATTCAAACCAAAATTTTGGTACAAAATAGGGACTCTACCAACCTGATTGCTTCTTGTCAGTGTATGTTTGAATCTTCTTGTTCGGCTTAAGATTCTCCTCTGCCATTTCTGTTTTTGTTTTGTGCTGCCAATAAAACATGCATTTCACTTTCAACTCAACCGTTGGCAAACAATAGTCAACGTGGATGGACGGAGGTAGGGGGGCGTATTACAAAAACATCCTTCGCCATCGCAACGCGAGGATCCTTTGTGCAGTGTGCACTCAATTATTTGGTCGTTACTTGCTTCTTATTACCTTTTGCCTACCGACACTGCCAGTACATAATAACTTCTGCGCGGCGGTGAAGTGGGGCTTTGTTTGCCCGGCCGGCAATACAATCGAGTTTGCGAAATGACGGAAATAAATGCGAATTTAATATGCAAAGGAATCAGATGAAGGCCAAGATTGCACAAAGGATATTCACATCAGGAAAAATGGAAGGGAATTGCGTTTGAAGGAACTAATAAGACATAAAGATAAATATAGCAATTGCCATTCATTTTAAACAATCGAATATCAAAAAGGTAGCCTATTTTTAGATAAAAAGGTAAGAGAATGGACATATTTTCCTTAGGTAGGGAGTATCCTACCTTCCAATATTTATAACGAAACTTTTGGTTTATGTTTGGAAATAAATGATCCTAAATTTAATGCCGGCTGAAAAGGAGAATCTTTAGTCTGAATCCTTAAAATCAAAACATTAGGCTCCTGGACCTTTAGCTTGCAATGCCTGTTTTTCTTAGCCCACCCCAAATACTAAGCACGGCCAAATACTGGTTTTAACTGCCTGTTGATTCGAAACGGTTAACAGTTCCATTTAACTTCCCAGTGAGAACAGTCATGCGTCAGTGAAACAATGGACACGAATTCTACCCCTCTGAAAGAACTGAATGGACATGAAACGGAAACGAAACCCCCGGAGGGGTTGCTAAGCGGAATGAATCTCGGAACACAGGGGTAGAAACATGGAACACTGAAGTGGAAACTCGGAACTCAGGGGAAAAAGCGCGGAACACGGCTTTAGAAACACGTAACGAGGACGGAATGGTTGTAAAATTGGAGGGGATGTCTTAGGACAATGGAGTTGAAACACCAAGGGATGCTGGGAAGCGAGTTCCTCCGACGAAGGGATGCGAACCGAAGAACGCGAAGTAGTCCGAACTCCAGGCATGGCGTGCAGTTGGATGCCGCGATTCAGGAATCAGTTGGAAATTTGCATGGCCCAGTGGCGGACGTCGAGCGGGAAAAATTACCAAACATTTGGATTTTGTCAATAACGGTCTAACGATTCGGTTTAAATCATACGCGGGCAGAGTTGTTGGCCAAAAAGGGCGCTTGCCGAATGCACCCAGCAGATCCTGATTCATCGGTTACCGGTCGGTCTGTGTTGACGCGAATGTGTGCCAAACAGGATGTGGGCGTGTCCGTCGACACCATCGCCCCCACCGCCCCAAGTGAACCCCAGTGAAGTGGAGTGGAGTGCCAGATGTGTGAGATGCTGTGAGCCGTGATTGCGAGTGCAATGTGTCTTTTATAAATCAAGGGAAAATCACATTTTAAATTGCTGCGCATTAGAACGGATACAGATACAAAGGCAGGGCCAAAAGGAGGCTGCCAGGCAGGATCGAAAGTCAAACGGCGTCAAACGCTGATTGCTTCGTCGTCGTCGTTGTCGTTGCCGTTCTCGTCGTCGGTGTCGCCTCCGCCGTCTATCCACAAAACGTAAAAAATGAAAAAAGAATGACAAAGAACGTGAAGGATTTGACTGATGTGAATAGAGTGAGAGATGTGACCTAGCCCAATCCCTTCAAGCCTCGTCTCAGCCCATTCTCAGAGCCCCCCAGGCCACCCACTGATCAGGTGGCACGTGCCATTGTTTAGCCTCCACGTATTTCAATTTTATTATATTGATGAGCATATGATGTAATATGTGCAGATAAGCTGATTAAAGTCACCCGCTCCTCGAGACTCATCCACACACCTAGGTACCTCATAACTTGCAGAGCGTGTTCGCCCATAGATTTTAAAACTCATTAATGTGCAAAGACGCCAATCCTGTCAAGTCCTTGATGTCTTGGGGTGTTGTCATTAGACAAGAAGCAAGCTGGTAAGCTGGCAAGCTGGCAGCCTCGAAATAGACACAAAGACAGAAAAGCTGACAACGATACTCTAGAATCAATAAAGGTGTTGAAACAGGTGCAAGAAGTTGGCCAGGATATTGAATGGCAGTTCTAAAAAAGAATCATTCAACAAAAGCGAAAAAGGATTTCATGCTTGGCAACGCCAAGTAATTCAACAAAAATATCATATATCCTGTCAGGAAAAACGTTGATTAATTGAGAGGAATTCGGCAGAAGTAAAGTATCGGAGACTGTCGGCAATTTTACGGAGGATTTAGTTGTCGGGGGCGTGGAAAAAAATGTTATCAGAAATATTGAAAAATGAGAACTGTTTCACAGAAAAATCGGAAAATCTCTTAATAATACCATTTTAAATCTGTCACCAATTCATAATGGTAGAATGCTTTAGTTTAGAAGTATTTAAGACTTCGTTGCCATACAACTATTACAAGTAAAAGTAAACAAGCTTAATAGTTAATTACAGTTTCGATTTAGGCACCTAATTAGTCTTCTTCCAAAGTTAGCTCCGACTGTGTCTGTGAGTAATTTAAGAAAATCCACCAGACTAATGGACCGAGCTTCTCCCTCACAAAATAAATATCAATTTGCAGCTTAGCTTCCCTAATTACGCACCAGTCCACACCAGCAGACATCTTTCTAATCGCCCCAGATTAGAGTGCAATAATGCATTTGGTTTTCGATATTTTTTTGTGTTGGCTTTTGGGGACTTCGATTTGCCAGCTTAGAGCCGCATAAATCGAACGGCTGGCATTCATTTGGGCCATGCCAGTCGCTTCGACCTATTGGCCAACAAAAAATAACGAGCCAAAGCGCCCCATCCGGCAGCCATTAAAAATTTGCCAAACTCAGCACGGCAGTCAGCAGAAGTAGTGGAAGTCTAGCTAATGGAGAGTGGAAAAGCAAAAGAAATAGTGGAGGCTTTGGGGGCTTTGGAGGCTATGGGGCCTGTGGAGGCAATGGAGGCTATGCAATTCATTAATTTATTGACTTACAATCAAGCCAGCCAAAAACTTATGCCCAGAGGCAGAGCCAGATAAATATCCATTTATCACATAAATAGGATGCTAACAGCAGCGAATCCTCCTAGGTCGTTGGTAGTTGGTGGTTGTAGTTCGGTTATCCTCGGACCAAAGTTATATTTCCGCCTTTCTCTAGCCTGGCTGGCTGTTGCGGTTGGCTTTGCCAAATAAAGCACCAAATAAGTTAAAACATACGTTCTCCGGGCTGTGGTTTGACTTTGTGAAATAAGAGCAAAAAATCCCGCACTCCCAGACTACCGGCAAAAGCAAAGAAAGACAGTCACGTCCGTGTGCCCCACTTCCAGGGGTATGCAAATCCAGCCAGGAGGACTTCATAAAAGCAATGCAAATAATTAAATAAAAGAACACAGAACAGAACACTGAGAACCGAGAACATAGAACACGAAACAGCAAATATCAACCAGACAAAATGACATGCCGCTTGAGCTGGCGGAACTTGGATTAACTAGCTGCGCGAGAAGCAATACGTTGCAGAAGCAAAAGTAATTCCCAAGCCCGGGAGGAGACTCTGCCAAGGTGCGATATCCGACAGATTCCCACACCCAATAAAATGTCCTGGAGGGGGCGGGTACAGGAGCGCGGACAAGGACGAGGAAAGGGCCGAACACGCCAAGGAGGAGTCGGAGGCGCTGGCGCTGGTGGAGGCATCTTTGCCGGCAAGGCGGGCACTGCCAGCATACTGTTGGCATTTCTGGCAGCTGTCAGCTTTCGTGGCATGCGAGCGCGTAAGTGTAAACTTCTTTTACTTTGGTTGAAACGAGTATCCGGTATGCGATTCCGCACTCGAATTTCGCCTTGGATTCACAAATTTCATAATTTAGGCTAAGAAACGATTCAAAGTATTCTATTAAATTGTACACCAAGCTTTACAATATAAAGTTATTTAGTTTCAGGTTTTGGTTTATGATTATTTTCCCTGTACCTGTTAATAGTTCTTAAGTCATTCAATTATTTCAAATATTTCATTTCAAAATCATTTCACAGACGTTTGAATTTGTAATGAGGTATTTAAATAGCAAATATCATGGAGAATCAAGCATATCAACACATGCTTGTCTAGAATTTCAAATTTAAATAATTTAATGTATGTAGGTTTGGGAATGATATTGTAAAACCAAACTAAGTATTTAAACGATTTAATGAATAAATCACACCACACTGATTTAATAAAAAACCGAAACATAACCAGATTATAAATGAAATGAACAAAAAACTCAAACATGTTTCGGTTATAATGTAGCTATAGTTTTTATCATATCACTTGTAGCCAAGTCCAGTTAACCCTTTAACGAATCCCTAGCGGTGTTTCAATGGCCAACTGACCGCCGTAAGCCGGAAAAGTCAGCCAATCGCGTAACCAACTGCCCTGGCAATCTTTTGATCCCCTTGGCAAACGAGTGCGCAGGAAAATCGCTTCCAGGAACGCCCTGGAGACCTTGTGTTTACCATACCCTGCTGCGAGTCCTACATATCCTGAATCCTGTGTGCGCTGTATGTGAAATCCCAGCACCCCTGTCCAACTTTTTTGGCTACGTGTTGTGCTGCTAAGCTTTTGTTTTTACATGCATAGTTAATTCAATTTCGCACATTTCTGTGCAAGTGTCGAGTGAAGCGTTTGCCAAATTTAATTTACATGATGAGATTTGCTTGGCTGCATTGTCGTTGGCAACTCGTTGGCACGATTTTTATAAGCTTGTCGAGTTAATTTAATCGGGCACTGCAAATTTTCATTTAGTCGAGCATAAAGACGCCCCCAGCCCCCACCTTAGGCCAAATATGTTACATATGACACTCGGGCACCTGTCACACGAAAATGTTGGCATTTCAGTGCCAAAAACTCATTACGCATACGCAGCTCCAGCCCGACTTGATATTTGCCTTCGCTCCTGGAGTAGTTTATGAAAATACTTGGCATATTTTCTAGCTCCGCCTAATTGGAACGTGGTCCGGGCAACCGACTTTTGTTTCTGAAACTCGACTTGATTAAATTTCCTCCAGGAGTGCTCGGTTGTGGAAGACTGCGAGTGGTAGGTATGCCTGTTCAACAGGTCGGATGCGTGATGTGATTTTTCCCCTTCTTCGAGATTACAATCAATTCAAGTCTGCTCTACATATTGCTTTCATGAAGTTGCCTAATTGATAGTTGAAGGTATTGTCTGATTTTTCCCCGTAATACATAAGCTATTGGCTCTAAGCGAGGATTGAATAAATTATAGCAGACCGTTTCGTATTTTCCCCAAGAAATAAACTTTTGTTCGGCCTCTGGTGCTGAGACTGGAATTCATTTCGCTTTCATGCTAATCCTTCAGATATGTTTTGAGGCTCTTATTTATTTATGTGCTGTGTACCAGCTCTTCTGCAAATATTTGTTGACGAAACTTTGTCTTGCGGCTCTTTAAAGCCACTTAAAGTTCATTTGCAGCTCTTGCGGCTGAATAATTGCGAAATAATATTTATCATCTTGTTTTCTTGCTAATCTCTCGCCTGCTGCCGTCAGATCTAATCAATCTCAGTTGAACTGCCGGCAGTGCCAAGGCAATATCATTAACAACACGACACCCCCTTCCACTAGCAGGACACCCCACTCTGCAGTCCGCACTCATATGTGATATAATTAAATTGGGCACCAGCAAAAACGCGTAAAACCACAGACAGACTGGAAAAACAATGGCACCCAGTTCCATGCCAAATACGAAGACACTCAAATAACACTTAAGCCATCAATCAGCGCCCTGGCCAAGGTCAGAGCCAGGACCACGCCCAAGACCATGTCCATCTGCAGTCCGGCTCCGTTAATTACGCCAGGACAATGGACCGCATACAAAGCAGCAGCGAAACGGAACAGGAGTCAATTCTGGTGAAGGACCAAAGGGATTCAAGCCTGGACAAGGGGACTGGAGGACTGAAGGACACCCAACTATGTTTTATATAAGAGATACAAGTATTTACCATAGAATGGCTCCCAAGACAAATGGCGGTCAAATGTCACGTTTAATTTATTTATGGCCAAAACACATAAATGTTGGAGCAGCTACAAAAAGTCGGCGAAAACCAAAAGTGAGGGCGGTGGGCGTGGTAGCAGGGCACGAGGGCAGTGCTTTAATTAAATAACTGCTCTAAGTGGAGCCAAAGAGTTGGCGTCGCTAATACAGCCATTAGCCCAATTCGTCGAGAGGCCATAAATTTGCAGTTCCAGCCCAGGAATCGCCAAATAATTTCCGAACTCTGTACTGTATTACCCTGAATAAATTTCCACTTACTCACTTCGAAAGGAAGACGATGCTTGAGACTAATAAATGACTAGCAGACGTAATTAATTAACTTTGGATTGTCTCAATATCCTATCAGGATTCTCATATGCAGGCAATATGTCTATTTATAGCGTAAAAATTGTTTACGATTATAGGAATTAAAATTAATAAACTCCACTTCTTATTGAAGAACCCTCAAAGAACTTACTTTTAAAAATGCTTAGATAAGAGCCATTTGTGTAAGGACCTGTCTTGGTCCTATATAATTAATTCCCATGTTTATTTTGTCAATAAATAGGGCTCTTGGCCAAGTGGTGTAACTATTTGTCTCTTAATGGACACACACGCGGCTGTTTAAGCCACGTTTTCACATCACATCCGTAATGAGCAACCAGCATCCAGGCAAGGGCCTAACACCAACGCCTTTTGCCGGATGGTTATGTATTTGTTTATTCATGTGTGTAAATTATGGACAATAACAACAACAACAGTCACATCAATGCGAAAGACAACAATCGTCAATCAGGCGGCACGAAACCAAAAGCAAAGGCAAAAGCTGGAGCCAGAAAGGCAGGCAAAAATTGTAGCAGGGAGGATGGGAGCGCTTTAAATCGAAGCCAGTCGAGTGCTAAATGGGCGCGTCTACCTACCACGCCCCCTCCCCCAGCACACCGCCCATTCTAGGCCCACTTCACAGACCCCACACTACTGCCACTTTCCCACGCGCCCGCACTTAAGCCGTGTAATTGCTGTGTGCGAGAGCAAAATGCCGCAAAAAGTCGAAGTCGGCACACTGTCGTCGAATTGAGCGACACGACGCGTCGCCATTTGCACAACAAAGAAAAAAATAAGTCAGGACTCGGCAAACAAAAGGATCGATATGCGACAATCGAATGCCCTCGGGAATGCCTAGGGAATTCATTAACTTTTAACCTACTGCGTTGGCCACCTACTGCGATATTAACGAGCTTTATTTATTTAAAGGACCCTGATGTTTCATTAACTGGCTGTTTGTGTTTCTATAAAAGAAAACTCCTCATTTGTGGTGGAAATACAATTTCAATAAGGTTAAATAATTACGGTTTAGAAATATGCTAATTTTAATCACATGCATATTAATAATGCTTCTCTAAAATGTATAAACTATAGTAAGCTTTTAAAAGAGTTTTTGAACATGAATTGTTAAAGGTGTAGGTATATGATATATATAAAATATGTAGATGATATGTATGGTATGATCTTGCAGAATATACAAACCTCACTAGCCCTACCTTTAATTTTCTGACCATTTTCACAAAACATAGTACTACTGGCAGTGTAAAAAATGACCAATGCCGTTTATTTTGATCCACTATGGTTTGGCAGCATATTTACCGGACCACTGACTAATCAGTATACTGTCATCAATCCATCAAGGGCCTCAACCCTCGTCAGGAATCGTGGGTTATCTGGGATGCCAAGATCGTGGTCGAATCAATGTTACCACACGTGGCTAAAGGGTAACCATAACAAAACGTGCTACCATTGATAAAATGTGCGACGGCTGCTGATGTAGGTCGGGTATGTGAATGCCCCAACAGGAGGTGGGCATCGGTGGGGCAAGTGCAGGATCTGGAATTTATGATTCCATTTTTACTTTTCTTCTCCGTTTTTCCAAACAGCCTCCCGGTCATGTGAGGAGTTTCTTTTGGGAAATGCCAACTGTGCGGTGCAAGGGGAAATGCAAATGGCTGCGGCTGCTGAATTTCTCTCGCAACAATGAAAAATGTTTTAACGTGGCCGGAACCTGGCGGAGCTGGGCGTCATTGGCCTAAGCCATTCCTTAAACGGCCTGTCTAAAGTCCTGAAAAAACATACACTTTTAAAAATTTTATTTATAATAAGCTATTCAAATTCATTCTACTAAAAAACAAGAGTACATGTTTCGTACACGGAATTTAAATGTTTTAACCGCTTTAAATATTGTTTGAATTATTATCCATATCATCTGAATTTTCTGCAAACGTTGGCAAACATTCTGTCAGTGCAACTTATTCCTTTCATCCTTTGGGTGTGCGACATTACCATTTGAGCTGTTCGATTATGCATGTATGGAGTTTGTCGTGTTGATGGAGGATTCCTTCTACGGGAGGGGAATCTAATATTCACTGAATGCTGGGAGCCAATACATACATACATGACAAGTTATGCCCTCTAATTAATGCGCTTAAACATGCGAAAAGCATGCATGTACGTTTTCTGGCCGAAAGCTGCTGGGGTGGACATTTCCTTTCGGCTTAATTTCACGACATAAATACTGATTCCCAGCAACCGCCGACGCCAAAGGCCAAAGGGCTGGAATCTCACATGGACTCACTTTTTGTGGCCACATCATGGCCGGACGGACCAGCGTTTCATTTTTCAACTGTCAGACTACCCACAAAGCCAGTGACACTTTCTGGACTCCCTCGCCGGAAGAAGGGGTTATCTGGTGGCGCCTTGGGCGTGAATACATACATACATACATACATGGAAATTAAAATGACATTAGGTCAGGCGGGCGTAAAAAGCCATAGCTTTTTTTGGCTTTACTCTTTTTCATTTCACAAAGAAATTGGGTACAGAATTCTGTTTTATCTTTAACGAACACTGGCTCCGGGGCATCACTGAGGAACCTTTAAGCTTCATAATAAATCAAAGGCGATAAGCATCGGAATGAATTCTGAGAAGTGACAAGTAACAAAATTATAATTAGGCTTACATGTTTTTCTTACCAAAAAAAAAATAAAGCACATTTGTAGATCGGGAGTGTCATCCGAACTTTTAAGAACATCACTTAGAGATGTAAGATTTTATCGATAGATAATTCATCACTGATTTTTAAGCATTTTGCAATACTGCCATACTTTGGGAAGCTTGTGGATCCTATTCTTTTCGTGTTTGGAGGCTGTAGAAAACTTTTCGTTTATTTTTGCGAGGTTTATATTTTGTGTTATTTTTTAAAATATATCAAGTAAGTATTTTAACATTAAAAATTTTAAATATACAAATGTATGTACAACAAGTAAGAAACAAAAGATACCGCGTAAAAAAAAAATAACAAGTTATCCGATTTAACAGACAGCATGGCACCAAATCTACCAATTTGCGGAATTCCACCAGTTCCGGTGGGAATGAACGCTAGACAGCCAAATATCCCGGAATTGTACCGGACCCTAAAGGTGTGCCTTAAATATGTGGAGGATGGTTGCAACGCATTCTCACATGTGATCTGCTCCCTCGACGAGATTAACTTCATATTCCTTCTTCGCGACAACCGCCTGAGCGAGCCGGAGCTGGCCCGCCTTCTTCCGATGCTAGGTCAGCGATTGAAGCATCTGCGTATTCAGTTGGATGACATCGGGATCCTCGCCAACATCTGTCGGGCTTTCAGAGTTCGCTGCCTGGCCGGAGTGGAAAAATGCACTATTTTACCAGGACGAGAGGAGCGAAACAGGTCGGCGATCGTAATGCTGGGCAGGCTGGTTCCCTATGTCAAGACGCTTTTCGTCGGCGCTACCATCAATAGTCACTTCCCAATCCTGCGACACCTTGAGGCTGTTTATGTGGAAAAAATAGGCCAAGTTGGTCTCGATGACTTGTTCAGCAACTCGCCCGCGCTGGTTAAGTTTACTATGAAGCAAGGTTACCCGGACATTAATACAATTCGAAGGAGCCGGCGACTGATGAAGGTTATCCTGCCCCTGCAGCTGCGCTCGCCCCTGACCATTCATCATCTGAAAAATCTCACTGATATATCGATGGTGCGCCCGAGTATGTGGCCAGGAATGGACTGGCTGCCCACCGTGCTTGCCGTCATCCACGCCAAGCGCTACCAGCTTACTCGTCTCACCTTTGACGGCTCCTGGCTGGTATGCCCCCTAGATTTTTCGCGGCTCCGACTGCTCAATTGCACTGCGCTGGTTGAGGTCCGATTCAGCAACTGTATGCTCAAGGATGTGATCGTGCCAGCCTTGCCTCTCTGCTGCAAGACCATCATCTTACGCGGCTGCACCGTGCGCAGATTAAATTCGCTCCTTAAGTTTAATCCCCTGGTACGCGATTTGCAGATTATCAATACCCAGGTGCAGTGGAATGTCCCTGTCCTGAAACGCCTCCTTACAATGAGGAAGTACCAGCCATCGAAGGAACCACTCAAAGTCACGTTTTGTCAGTCTGCGAAGCTGCGATCGGAGTACAAGAAGTGGAAGAAAGAGGACCTGGTCGAAGCCAAGCCGTTTCTTCAAGTAAAGGAGATTCAGCCCTACCAGGTGCAGCCCTGGGAGAATGAGATCGGCATGATCTCCATGACTTTTGGCATGCCTGTAAATTATGTTCCCGAAATTCCAATTCTGGTGGAGGGTGATCCCACTGCTGCAGAAATAGTTCGCGATCTAAACTTTGAGTCATAAGTTTTTTTTCCAAACAATTTGGTTTTAATTATTTTAAAAATTCTTACATTTTTCTAATCATTTATAAACAATTATTGTTTATTTTTTTTTTGTATTTTGGATAAATTTATACAATAAATATGATGAGAAAAATAAGAAGCTTTTATTAAATATTTTGAAAATAAACCAAACAAAATCTTATTATGTTACTTGGTAACTTTAAAATTAAATGAAAAAGTTTTAAATTAAAATACCTACCATCTTATCCAATTTTTCGAAATTAACACCATACTTAAACTCATAAATTAACAAAAAAAAGAGAAGCATGCTCTACACCTTGACTCGACAGATGCTTTCATGTTCCTCAAGAGGCTCCCTACATATAAAACAAATCAAATCTAACCCTGAAAAGCTTTTGGCATCTGGTCCTTAATTTAGGATCGCCATTTTTCCAGTTGGGTAAATTTCTGTTTATCAGAGAGAACATAAATAACGAAAAAGTTGCCAAAAACAACAAGAGGGAATGAAATTTATGTGTACCGCATGTAATTAATAATAAAAGAAATCGCGCAAACAAATTAAATGGTTCAGTGTGTGTTTAACTTGCCTGTTAGCTTGTCCAGAACGGCGCTTAATTAGGCCAACTCCGACCACCTACCCATATGGTTGCCATGCCTCCTCATGCCGCTTATGCCCAACCGTTTTCCCCGAACTTTATGTTTGAGCCAACTTAATGGGGTCCTGCACGGCCAGCACAGCTCCGGCTAATCGGGTTAACCCAATCCCAAAAGCAATGCTAAACAGGTGTAATTGGGTGTTACCTATGCTGGTCAGTGGATGGGAGACGGAGCTGGTGGAATTGCGAAGGCGGAAAGCAAAGATCGTAAATTCAGTTAACCGGGGATTGAGTGGCAGGAGGGATTAACTACATGGATCTTTAAGTAAAAATGTTTGTTATTTTGGTGAAAAGGAAAAGATTCCTTATAAATGTTCGTTAAATATGTAACTCCATTTTGGTTTTTATAATTTGTTAAAGTGCATAAAAATATCTATCATATATGTAAATTTTATTTAAATAATTTCCACAACTTTGAGATAGAGAAAATATATAATAAAATTAAACAAAATTGTTATAAACGCTCAAACATAATCCCTGAAATTTTAAGCCCTGAACATTTGGTTTTAATTCCTACAATGTCGGAATGGATGTTCAGTTTCCAAACGATATAATCCATGCATCATCTCATGGCGGCAGTCCGATTAGAGCCGAACCCCCTCGGACTGGGTTTGGCCTTTTTCAACTTTGCACTCGAATGAATACGAAATTCACGCGAAATTCCATGACAGTACCCACGACAAAGATAAAGTTTCAGCCGTGCCGTCCCATGCCGAAAATCCCCCGACTTGAATTATTATGTTATTGTGCTGCTTTCGGGTTGGGGATCGGGGGAACGGGGCTGTGTCCGTGCTCCATGGATGCCCAAACTTTGCGCCAATCATTGCTCAACCATTTGAGTAGAAATTTTAAATTTATTGCGCTGCCAATGCGACAGCAAACAATAGCATTAACAAAGTAATAATTCAAGACTTTAAATGATTTCAATTATAGCATTTGGCCAAATGTGTGACGAGTGCCGGAAGGGCAAGGGCGAGGACGAGGTCTGGCCACTGCCACAGGCTCTGGCCATGGCTGAAACCCAAAACCAAAATCAGTTTATGTGGTTAAATGAACAGTTACACTAATTACCGCACAACAAAACTATTGTAGCTCTCGTGTGGTCGTTGTTGTTCTTGCCGTTTGTTTGTTGTGCAGTTAGTTGTTTCTGGTTTTTGCTTTTATAAACTTTGTGTGCAAATAGTTTTTAATTACACAGATATGGTGGCAGCATATAAAACAATAGCAAATCTAACGAGAAACACAAGTCTAAAGTAATTGGAATCCCATGGCACTGGAAGCCATGAAATCCTTGATGCTCAGCAGAGGATAACTTTTGGCAAGAGTGAATTTTAACAATCATTCGAAAGCTACAAATTCAAATGCACATCTTGGACATTATTCGATTTTTCGTTAAGTTTTCTGGGGCACTCTCTTCAAGAATGAAGAAAAACTTTGACAATACTGCCCTCAGCGAAGGCCATATCTTTTCCAATAGTTATCCGATTCCCAAACGGAATACCTTAAACGATTCGTGGATAGATTCTCCATCAATCTGAATCAAAACCTGTGAACAACATATTTTTTAAATTTTTCGTCAATTTTTCTGGGGCACTCCCTTTAAGAATGGGGAAAATGCATGGAGCGACAATACTAACCCCAGCGAAGCAAATATCTTTGCCAATAGTTGTCCGATTCCCAAACGGAATACCTTAAACGATTTGTGGATAGATTCTCCATCAATCTGCATCAAAATCTGTAAACAAAATATTTTTTAGATTTTTCGTTAATTTTTCTAGGGGACTCCCTTCTAGAATGGGGAAAATGCAAGGATCGACAATACTAACCCCAGCGAAAGGCATATCTTTGCCAATAGTTGTCCGATTCCAAAACGGAATACCTTAAACGATTTGTGGATAGATTCTCCATCAATCTGCATCAAAATCTATGAACAAAATATTTTTTAGATTTTTCGTCAATTTTTCTGGGGCACTTCCTTCCAGAATAGGGAAAATGCAAGGACCGACAATACTAACCCCAGCGAAGCAAATATCTTTGCCAATAGTTGTCCGATTCTCAAACGGAATACCTTAAACGATTCGTGGATAGATTCTCCATCAATCTGCATCAAAACCTGTGAACAAAATATTTTTTAGATTTTTCGTCAATTTTTCTGGGGCACTCCCTTCCAGAATGGGGAAAATGGAATACCAAGAACCGACAATACTAACCCCAGCGAAGCGCATATCTTTGCCAATAGTTGTCCGATTCCCAAACGGAATACCTTAAACGATTTGTGGATAGATTCTCCATCAATCTGCATCAAAATCTGTAAACAAAATATTTTTTAGATTTTTCGTTAATTTTTCTAGGGGACTCCCTTCTAGAATGGGGAAAATGCAAGGATCGACAATACTAACCCCAGCGAAAGGCATATCTTTGCCAATAGTTGTCCGATTCCAAAACGGAATACCTTAAACGATTTGTGGATAGATTCTCCATCAATCTGCATCAAAATCTATGAACAAAATATTTTTTAGATTTTTCGTCAATTTTTCTGGGGCACTTCCTTCCAGAATAGGGAAAATGCAAGGACCGACAATACTAACCCCAGCGAAGCAAATATCTTTGCCAATAGTTGTCCGATTCTCAAACGGAATACCTTAAACGATTCGTGGATAGATTCTCCATCAATCTGCATCAAAACCTGTGAACAAAATATTTTTTAGATTTTTCGTCAATTTTTCTGGGGCACTCCCTTCAAGAATGGCGAAAATGCATGGATCGACAATACTACCCCCCGCGAAGTCCATATCTTTGCCAATAGTTGTCCGATTCCCAAACGGAATACCTTAAACGATTCGTGGATAGATTCTCCATCAATCTGCATCAAAACCTGTGAACAAAATATTTTTTAGATTTTTCGTCAATTTTTCTGGGGCACTCCCTTCAAGAATGGCGAAAATGCATGGATCGACAATACTACCCCCAGCGAAGGCCATATCTTTGACAATAGTTGTCCGATTCCCAAACGGAATACCTTAAACGATTTGTCGATAGATTCTCCATCAATCTGCATCAAAACCTGTGGACAAAATATTTTTTAGATTTTTCGTCAATTTTTCTGGGGCCCTTCCAGAATGGGGAAAATGCATGGATCGACAATACTAACCCCAGCGAAAGGCATATCTTTGCCAATAGTGGTCCGATTCCAAAACGGAATACCTTTAACGATTTACCTTTTTAACGATTTGTGGATATATTCTCCATCAATCTGCATCAAAACCTGTGAACAAAATATTTTTTAGATTTTTCGACAATTTTTCTGGGGCACTCCAAGAATGGGGAAAATGCTTGAATGGGGAAATGGTTTGATTTTGCATCATTTACACTAAAATCCTCATACATTTAATATTTTTAAAGATTTACAGATTAAATTACAGAACCGTGACATCCTTTTATAGTCCTAAATGCAATAAATAAATTCGTTTGGCATTCTTTGCGAGAAGTGAGAACTATACATCTTTAATCGGATTGCAACTACAGACAAAAATGATTTATTCAGTGTTTCATTGTGCGGAATGTTGAAAGTTTAGGTAATTTAAAGTCTGGCAGAACAGCTACTTAGTCGAAAGAAGTGCCCGCAGCAATACGAAGCGAGGAAAGTGGGAAACTATTTCTGAGAATGGTTCTCAAGCGAGAAATTTAATAAAAATGTAAACTTAAGCGGAAACCCTGCTGCTGAGCTGACCTCCTTCTCTGAACTTCCGTTCTCACTTTATGTTCTCCCTCTGTGTGAGCATTTGGCATAATATTATTTACATAATAAATACTTAGTTGTTATTTGTTGTGCTGCGCGTAAATTTGCCGCCCGAGGCGAGACAGCAGAACAGGCGGAAGGCGCCCCTAAAAGTAGGCACTTCCATAACTAGATGGGTGGAGTGGGTTGTAGTGGGAGGTGATAGCAGCGAGAAATAGGAGGCGGGGTGCATGTCCTTTGGCCACACTGAATGTATAATGTGGGCGGCATGATGACTCTGTACTTTCAGGCCCATCTGCGGGATTTTATGCTCTAATAAAATTGCAATGTGGCCGCGAGCTTAGGACTTGATTGGATCAGGATAAGAAATAAGAAACAGTGGCCACTTTTCTCATTACATCCAGATACAGTCAATGAGATACAGTAATTTATCGTAGAGTAACGCAGTCATAATTAATATTATTTATCTTAATAATCCTTCAGTCTCCAAAACCTTATCATAATTTAATTATAATTTTCCTCACTGTCATGTATTATTATATAATTCTACAATTATTGGTATTTTAAGGGCTTGAAATTCACAACAAAGCTGCAGAAATCACCGATTATTTAACGCTTAAACGGATTTCATTTCTAAAGCTAAAACCTATTTTATTTGCATTTAAATCATATACGTTTATTTCTTTGTAACAATTAATGGTGTGGAATTTTTTAATTGGGTTTATCTTTGCTAGAAATTGTTTCAAAATTAGTTACTGTACAGTTTACTAATAATTGAACCATTTGGATTTTAAGTTTGAAAAACTGTGGCAGAGCCAACTGTAGAATAAAGATGGTCCGACTACCACTGCTTTTTGTACCGCTCGAGGGATACATCGCCGGGACCCAAGACAACAACCATGAGCAGGCCCCCCACCACAGACAGAGTGTGGAAGCAATTGTATTTCAGCAGGTCCCTCGAGTCGCCGTCGGCGAACCACCAGGCGTTGGTGCACACATTCCACCCAGTCAGCATCAGGGAGAGCCACAATGCAGCCGAGCGGGTGCGATATCCCATCACGACAAACGCCATCAGGATCAGGCCGAATGAATTCAGGACAATGGAGACGACGGTGAAGTATTGCTGGAACAGGGTCAGATACATGAGCGCCAACAGAATGCGGCCAGTGAGTTGCATCAGTTGCTGGGACCTCCGGTTAACCAAAAGCGGGACTCCGGCTCTTGCTGCGTATATCCTGTAGCAGGAGGCCTGCTTTTCCTCTACATGCAGCAGCAGTAGTCCTCCCAGCAGCGCGAAATTCCTCAAAATCAGATGGAGATCTAATGGCACCGCATAAACATGGGCCTGGATCAGAGTTAATTATAGTTAATGCGCCCTCTTGGGTGGGGTGTGGCAAGTAAATGTGCGCTTACCTGCAGAAGGACGATGCCGGCCAGGAGGGTAACCGCAAAATTAATAAACAGATGCAACCACACCAGCACACAGCCGACCAGCTGGCCCACCAGAAGATACAAGGCAAGAGCCATGGCCAGGTCGCCGGAGCATTTAAGTTGGTCTTGCAGGAAGTTAACATGCACCATCCACTGAAAAAACAAGCGCAAGGCATCCTCGAAGAAAGTGGCCACGAGGCAGAAGCGAGCCACCGCGGGCAGAGAAGGGCGGCACCGGCGGATGACCTCCTCGCCCAGGTCCTCCACCCGACGGAGCCATTGGGTCACCATGTCTGGAGCTTGTGGCCAGGAGCAAAGCGATTTCTCTCTACGGGCGTGTCAGTTGCGGCGGCAGTAACAAACAGCGACTGCCACTCTGAGTAATCGTTCCGGTCTGTTCCGGGTCTGTGGCACATCTTGAAAAGATTGCTACGTTACAGCGGCGCTTTCCGGGCACAGCTGTCGTTTTTAAATGGAAAATATTTCATTTCATATTTAATTTTCAGCTCAGCATACAAGGATACATTTCTTCAGCTATTACATCCTTACAAAAAACCATTAAGGTTAAAACCACCATAAAACCAAAAACCCGCTAGAGAAAATGTGCTCCAGTTTCTATTTATAATATTCTTCATCTCTCTCATAATCATCAAATGAATATTATTTTTTATAATTCCACTTTGGTAATTACCAATTGAACGCCAATAACAGATGGTTTGACAAATAATAATTCCCACAAAATTATCCTTCAGTTTGGGAGAAATTGGCAAAAACAAAACAAACCGCTTGAAACGAAATACAATCGAACCAAGCGCCCTAGGCCAATATATTTGCATTTTCCATGATGAATTGCCATTTGCTATGGGAGAATACATATATGAATGTAGATGTATTCTAAAATATTTCGCAATTTGTCAATTAATTTGCAAAAAGCTGCACCGTTTTGTGGGGCAGATAAACAAACTATTTTAATGCAAAATAGTATCCCCTTTGATGGGCCATGAAACCAACCAAGAATGTGAAATAACTCAGCAATATAAAATACTTTTATTTTATTTTTAATATTTGTTTCCATAAATAAACCCTTACAACACTATTAAATAGGTCTGTTAATGTTGGTAATACCAAAGATTATACAGTACATAGATGGGACATCTCATACAAAGAAAAATTTTCTATGGCGGGTTCCAGCCGTGGAACCCGCTGGAACGAGCGGGTTCCATTGCGCGACAAGTTAAGTTTGAGAAATTTTTCGCGAGACAACGAATGAGGAATAGCCGAGTGGTAGAGTGCTTGGCTGGTGTGCAAAGTAAAATGAGTTCAAACCAGGCTCGGGACATCTATTTTTTTTTAATTTTAAATCTATTTATATTATTGTTTTATTATTTTAATGTGTTTTCCTAAATTTATTATCCAATAAAAAAAAAATACAAAATTGTAAAATCACCTTAACATCGTCTCAGTTCGTAGTGGAACCCGCTGTAAAAATGTCTATAAGTGCGGGTTCTACGGCATTTTGGCAGGCCGCGTCGTGGAACCCGCTCTCAAATGTTTTCATTTTTTCCGTCGTGGAACCCGCTGTATAATGAAAACATTTGAGAGCGGGTTCCACGACAAACGCCTGCCAGATGAGATAGGGAGAGAGAGAATTCTATTTTTAGATCGTAACATCTTTGGAACGATGAAAGTTTGAAACGTTGTAATCGAACCAATGTAAGAGTAAAGAGATCAGAAATATCTTTTACTATCCTTACTCGTCAACTCTGTTTTTGGTATAGATTCTAGCGCCTCCTTTAACACCAATTTTAAGTATCATAAAATCGACTTCGAGGGTAGCCTAGATGGATAGTGCGCGATCCTTATTCATGGGGTCCTGGGTTCGACTTCATTAGCGGGCGGTTGTTTCGATTTTGATAAAGTTTTAGTTTTATGATTCTTTTAATATTTACTTTTATTTTTTTATTTTTTTTTTTTTACTTTTAATTTTTACGGTATTATTATTATTTTTAATTGCATTCTATAAAAATTAAAGTAAAAATAAGTGACGGACGTGTCGGATGACAAAATGCCGGAAGGACTCCCTTGAAATTTTATTATCCGGACATAATGAAGAACAAAACAATTTTACAATTGTAAAATTAAAGAAAAATATAATTAAGGAAAAATAATAATTATAAAAGAACGAAAAAGTTCAAAGTCCTTACGAGGATTTGAACACAGAAAAATTACACATAGAGTAACTACTCTATGCATTACGCTACCATCCTGTCTCGATCTGCGGCGATCAAAAATACTATTTGTTTTACCAACTACCACATCGGCGCATCGAAAACAGAAACAAGAAATTGAAATTGAAATTTGGAAGCCAAAACCTTTTTACGCCGTCGTGCGAGCAGTCACACATACACACATAGGTTCACATTTTTGTTGACGGGTACATGTAAAGAGTTCTAAAAATAGAATCGTATGCATGTGCGTTCCCCCCTCACCAACAAGCTCGACGCAAAAAGTTGACCATTTTGGGCCCTGATGTCCCATCTATGTACTTTATAATCTTTGGTAATACTCTGGAGTAGTTTTGACAGCTTTGGCTCTGCTTGTCATTGTTGCAAAGTCTTAAATCAGTGTTTGTGCGGGAACATCCTCGAGTAGATCCACATACTGATGTCCTCCGTTTCATTCTTGACCTATTTTGCAGCGCTGGCCGCCTATGCAGCACCGATGGGTGAAAACGCATCGCTAATTACGCCACCAACGACGAGGACAACCACAACGCCGCTGGCGACGGGATCACACAGTGTCCTCTTGATGGGAACTGGCAACAGTTTTCAACAGGGGGAGGAGACAACCGTAATGGGGGAGTCCTGGAGTGAAAGACCCGATACGGCGACACTGACAAAGGGATTCTCGATTCCTACCTATTTGCCACCTTTTCCGGACTTCATTCCCGCCGATTTGCCGCACCTGCAGCGGAACGCACCTGCCAGTCCAAGTCCGGCGGATGCCAGTCCCAAGCAGACTAACGAGCAGCAATTCCAAACCCAATCGCCATCCCAGTCGCAGCCCAGATTACACGCCTACGACAGCGAACAAAAGAAGCTGCAGCTGCGACGCGAAAAGGAGCTGGCCAAGGAGCGGGAGTTGCTGCCACGGCGCCTCCTCAGCCTGCCCCCGCTGAATGCCACCGTCCAAGCTGGCCAGCATGCCTATCTGCCCTGCAAGGTAAGCGAAGTCCTGGCCATGAGGACAGGACAATGGAGAGCCATCCAGTTGTGGGACGTAATTGAAGCTTTCTAGCTATCCGACACTGTAAACAAGTTTGCAACTCTATAGCGAATTTACTCTTGAGTGGTCCTTTAGAGAAAAATTAGATCCCTTGATTCCTGATTCCATTCATCCTAATTCTGTGGCCTTTCTGCCAGTGCATCTAACCATATGCCTTCCGTTATCGTTCCTGCAGCTCAACCAGCACTCGGGCAAGCCCCTCTCATGGGTGCGTTTGCGGGATGAACATATCATTGCGGTGGATCACACAACCTTCATCAACGACGCCCGCTTCTCGTCCCTGCTCCAATCAGCGGCAACGGCAACATCGGCGACCACCGCAGTCGGAGCTCCACCTCCGAGTCAACGCGTCACCGCGGAGGCCCCTGCCCACTTGAATGGCTCCAGCCACGACGTCATGGCTGGGGAGCGGGGCAACGGCAGTAGCCTGAGCTGGACACTGCAAATCAAGTACGTGAAGCTGGATGACGCCGGATGGTACGAGTGCCAATTGGCAACTGAGCCCAAAATGAGCGCCAAGGTGCAACTGTTTGTGATAAGTAAGTGAACCTACAAATAACAGGCAAATTGGCCAAGTCGAGGAGGTCCCTATTTCAAGTATTTATTACTTGATTTATTTTAAATTCTTATATAAACTTTGAATCATGATAGTTCAATTCAAAAGTCGGTTAATCCTTGTGTTCCTCTCTCCAAGAACCATGGTTCCCTCTCCAATTTATATTTCAAAGTTATATTTCAACCCATACTGGATTATCGGTTATGCAAATTATAATCCCTCATTTCTTCCATTATCGAAAAGCACCACGTACCGAGCTAATTGGGGATCGACAGCGCTTTGTGAAGGCTGGGAGCAAAGTAGAGATGCACTGCATCGTGCGTGGCACCCTGGAGGCGCCCAAGTACATATTCTGGTATCGGGGCGACCAACAGGTGACTGCCAAAAACGAGGCCAGTGGGTCCCAGAACGGATGGTATACGCAAATCGATAGAAATATCTTCGGCAGCACTGAGCATAACAGGAATACGGTGAGGCGGACGAAGTTATGAAAGAAATTTTTATATTAAAATTGAGTTTGCAGATTGGTTCTCTGGTTATTCCTCTGGTGCGGAAAATACACTCCGGCAATTATACGTGTGAGCCGGAGAACAGTGCGGCCGTGTCCATGCAACTGCATGTCCTGAGCGGTAAGAACTATCCTTTTAATGACTTTAAATTCATTCTTATTTTAATATATTTCTTCAAATAATAGGGGAGTACTCCGCCTCGGCCATCAAGTCAACAGCGGCTGGCCTCTTCAGACTCGGACACGGATACAGAAGCCTCCACCAGTGGCTTATCTTCCTACTGGTGGCTTTGAACAAGACATGAGGGGTAGTCCCAATAAGCGTTTGAAGGAAATCACTGAAATAACAATCCGACGGGGTGTTTTGTCTAAGACATTAGTTTAATTTTTAGGTAAAAATAGCACACGAAGCTCTCACAACACATGGACATGTTTATTCCGCTGACACTTTTTAAAGTCTAAGCTCAACTTTCCGAATATTAATGAAGATTTTTCTACAGATTCTAGACATAATTAATATGTTTTCCTTTTGCATAAGATTAGGTCTAGTGTACTAAGCATTAAGCTAAGCATCTGATTCCGAGTAACGAAAATTAATTTGTTATTTGCGTAAATAAAGCCTAAGGCGTCTTAAGTAATCTGGAGTATGATTTGGCTTGAAATTAATTCCAGACTGGGCTTCAATGCAAATTTCATCTTTAATGTTTGAGGACCAAAATCAATTTCAAATTCACTTTGTGTTTGTAGGAGATAAGGCTGTATCGCCCTATAATGGTCGCCAAATTACTAACACCTTGGGTCATTAGCTCCATAATTTGCATGAGCCCCCTACTGTGCCAGCTTAGAGAAATCAGCTTCAGCGGCTCCAAGTTCTGGCCTAATGCTCTTAGCCATCGTAAAGTCCAACTGTAGCATCTTAACCCCAATCCGCAGTTATTTAAATAAAAGCGAAGGCATCTCCAGCCCGGCTCTCATCTCGTCGAGCAAATTATCAGTATATTTTAAAATGCAAATAAAGAAACCTGTCATATTTTGCGGATTTCTGTGGAGGATAGCTGCCGCTAAGCCAGCCAGGATTCGAATAAAAAATGCAAAAACCACCAAGAAAGGGAAAAACTACAATTGCTGACTCCTTTGTCCTGGCCATTGTGTTTCTCCGGCCGAAAGGCATTGTTTTATGGCCTGGCCAACTATAATTTTGTGCGATTTTTTGATTGCCCCCGCACTTTACGCTGCTCATTTATCAAGCCGAGAGCCGGACCGTGAGCCATAGCAACCGGCGTGGCCAAGATGTGGTAAAAGTTTTATGGCCAAGTTTGAATTTCCTTTCGCATCTTGGCGGCACACCTTGGTCCGACTTTCCCACAACTTTCTCCGGTGGCCACTCAACAGACAATTTACAACTGGACAGCTGGCGTGCGATGGAGATAGAGAGCGGGCTCCGGCGTGGGTGGGTGGTGGAGAAAGGACCACCGACCGGGCTAATCACTTTTTGATTTATTTCCCATAGCCGCGTCCTGAAACTTTTGCCCACAGTTCATATTTTTCTTTTCGCTCTGCGGCTTTTCCGCAGTTTTCCCTGTTGCTTTTGCGTTTGCCTTTGCGGTCTGCTGTTGTCGTTTCCACCGGCGGGATACTGCAGGATATTGACAGCGTACGGCGGGGGATTAGCCTTCGAGAATATTGAAAAATTCCGCGACCACGGCCTGCAATCCGAATGCCTTGCAGGCAACTGTCAACAATTTCTTAAAGTTTGTGCCGACCGCTCCGCCAACTGATTATGGCCGAATCCCCCCCATCCCAATGTGGGGGCTGTGGGCATATCAAAGAGATTGGCGCATTTTAATAATTTACATGGCAAACTGCTGAAAAATACATTTGGCTCGCGCATGCGATACCGAAAGACATTCCACGCGACAGCGCTTTAAGGACACCCACGCCTCTATATCGGCAATTTACCTTGCCACCAGGAGGGTCCTGCCGCAGGCTACCGGCTCCCCACCCCCGAGTCCTGCATCCCGACTCCCGGCTCTCTGGTGCCAACGATTCTTGTTTGCAGAAATTGGTTAAAGTTCACCGCTTGACTTTTAAATTATGTTGTGGGCGTCTGCCGGTTAGGAGGCAATAACTTGGCCTGCAACTTTCCGGCCGCGATTCCTTTAAAGAAAATCCGTGCAAAGGTGGCAGGAAACCAGCATCCAAGGCTTGGCGACATCAAGAGCAACAGATTTCCATCATGAAACTCTGAAGGGAGTTGGGCAATATAATCCAGATTAAAAGAGCTTTAGTTACATCGCCTCTAGTTAGTTTGATAAGCCAACTAATCATACATCAAAATTATTTTGAAAAACTAATAAATATTAAAAACAAAATACTTCAAAAAATACTCAATAACTTTTCGTTGGCTTAGTCTCGGCATGTCATCTCAGTCAGTTCCACTCAACTAATTGGCTCAGATATTTGCTCTTTGAAAGAGTTTCAAAAAGTTATTTTGCCAGACGACCCACCTCAGTTGCGATCATAAATTACACAGGAATTCTTTAACAAAGTTATATTTCGAATTTGACTTAGTTTCCTTTAAATATTTATGGAAGCCATCAAAGCTACAGGGAATCGTGTAGGTAAATTTGTACATTAAAATGAAATTTAAAAAAACGTTGTAAAGAACACAGTTTTGAGCTCATAAAAATATATTTTCTAATTCAGATATGAAAGGTAAGGAAGAATAAAGTAAATGTACACTAAATAGTATAAAAATTATAATAATTTTGATTTAATTATAAAAACAAAACAACTCTTTAAAATTGAAAGATTAAATATTAAATTTTAAGGAATTTTCAAGTATTCCCGCTACCTTGCTAGCATTGTGTGATGACAAAAGATGAGTGCTACGCCGCTGGCTGTAAATAACAGACTGTTAAAATCAGCATCGTGACCAAGGCCCGCTGCTACGGAACGTTTATTTAAAAATTTTAAGCGTTTAAAATGGAAAACAGCAAAACTTTCTATTATTTATCAAATATTTCTAGAAAAAAAATCCCAAGGAAAATATAACCCATTGGATAAATATAAAACCATTGTTTGTTCTTTTAATTAACTTTTTATTTTGCATAAATATGCACAATATTGAATTTCTTTTAGCTTTTTAATGCAATATATATTTGTAATATTTAAACCTAAACGCGCTTAATGTGAGACTAAACAACAATTTCTCGCATTTCTTTTTACAGAAGATATTCATATGTCGATTGCAAATTATTGTTTTACTATCTTTCAATATTTCTTTAAAAAATAGGTTCGCTTATTAAAAATAAATCGCGTCTTATTAATTACAATTTAGTTTCGATAGATATATGGTATATTTTAAATTTTAAGTTTTGCTTGGTACTATATTTGAAATACTTGGAATGCACAAAAATAATTTGCTTTGTGGTCGGTTTTTTGAATAAATTTTATGCTACAGCATTAATTTCCCACGCCATCCATTAGGTGTTTGGACGTGACTTTTATCTTTTATTTTTTTAAAGCCTTTAGGTTTAATGAAATTCTATTCCTTTTGTTTTTAAATTGGTACGCATAATATTTAACAATTTATAGTTGTTCATTAGTATGCCTATTCGCATCCAAAATGGTTTAAAAAAGAGGCTTTAATTAAAAATATATATATTATTTTTGAACATTTGAATTATTCATTTGTGGTTCGTGGTTTTGTAAATATAGCATTTGTAATTGAATAATTGGACCATTTGTTTTAACGTTGTTGTGGCTTAGAGTATAATATATATAAACGTTTCTTGTTCCGCTCGGTTCCCAGGTAAGTATATGTATATGTAATGTATATCTAGTCTAACTCGGCTCATTTACACTCTTGTCTAACCATAAATTGTATTCGGTAATCTGATGTAACAAATTGTTAATCGTAGGGTTAATCGTTAAGTTTAATTTAAAATGTTCAAAACGCTTTACAAATGTGGCTCGCCCCCCTTTCGTTGCCAGGCTCAGGCTCGTTACAGTTTTGTATATATAATCGTATATATAGACTATAGCGATATACACTGACAATTCTCACTAATTGAATTCAGTTAACATTTCGTTTGTGTGGTAATTAACTCTGAAGCGCTATAGCCGTGGATTTCTATTGCCTTGCTAAGCAAATTCGTTAGGTTTGTTTCTATCGTTACTGGATAACTATGTATATAACTCGGTCTAGGTATGTACGCGTCCTATGGAGGCTAACGTAGCAACTTGGCCCCAAAATATTGAAGTGTAAGCTTTGTGGGTTCGGGTGTGTATGTACATAGCAGATAGCAATGATTCCTCCTAATCCTTTCTAGTGCACCGCATCGATGTCCCGCTGGGCCCGTGATATCTTCAGCTTGTCCTTGGGCGTGTTATCCTCTCCCGACTCCAGGGCGAACATCTTCATCTTCTCCTTGAAGGAGAGCTTCTCCGGCACCGCGTCTCCAGCTCGCTGTTGTTGTTGCTGCTGTTGCTTTTCCGCCAGGCGACGCTGGCGCGGATCTCTGTTTTGAAAAATTATATCTTTTAGTTTAGAATTCATACGAAGGGATTATCATTGATTATCCTACCTGTACACTTCTTGCGCTCCTATAACGCCGGGCGTAGACTGCACTGTGGTGTTCCAGAGGGCGGCATCGGGAGTGGCTGGCATCGAGGGCAACATGGAGGCATCCAGACTTTGCTGCAGAAACTGTAAAGGTTTAAAAGTTTTAGTTTGTAATTCAAAATAATAACATATTGTAGGTTACACTTACACTGGTGTCTTCTCTGATGGTATCCAAGTCCTGGTGCTCCATGCCATAGTTGTCCATGATGTACTGCTGCTGTTGGGGATTGGTGCCGCCAACAAAGTTGTTCTCCTCGTCATGGAAGCTAACCCGCTTGTTGTCCCGCTGCATCAAAGGCGGTGGTGGAGGAGGCGTGCCCAAGCTGCCCATCATTCCCGTCCCCGTGGCCGAAACATAGGCAGCATTCAGTTCCATGGCGCTCAAGGGTGACGCCTGCATGGTGTTGTTGTTCAGGCTTCCCGCCAGATTGTTGTTATTATTGTTGTTGTTGGATTGGGTGTTCAGGAGGGACGCCTTCTTGATCTCCACAGCCACAGCTGCCTGATTGCTGGTGGCAGTCTTCAGCAGACCCATGGAGCTGGTGGAGCTTCCAGTGCTGGCACGCAGTTTCTGCTGCGACATTATCAGGTAGGAGCTATTCCTCTCTGGCGGCGGTGGCGGGGGCACTACAGCATCAACGGCCTCGTTGTTGTTGTCTTTGTCCAGCATGGTGAGCTGGTTGAGCTCCTTGGCCAGGCTGGATATCGGGTGCTCGGTCTGCAGGTGCCTTTCGTCAGCAAAACTAGCCGACTTTTGGGACTTGGACGGCGACGAAGGGGCGCCACTGCTTCCGGCTCCACCTTCCGAGTATCTGTTATGCTTGAGAATGCTCTTCGGCTGCTGGGTGCTGCCCACGGATGGGGCAGCTGGAGCCGGGGGAGCTGGTGCAGGCGCCGCATCAATCTGGCTGCTGCTGTCCGTGATCTCCGCCAGCTTGATCTCTGTCTGACGGAAGCTGGTGATGGGGGTTTGTATGGCACTGACCTGGCCACCTCCAGCCAGTCGGAACAGCTCCTGTACATTCTCCTTGTCGTATTGCTGCTCGTGATCCTGATCCTCCTGCTCCTGCAACTCCTGCGCTCGTCGCTCAAAGTCCCGCTCCAGGATCAGCGTCTTCAGCTGCTCCTCCTGCATGGGCGAGCGGGATACAATCTGCGAGAGCTCCGATATCTGTTGCTCCCGCCACTGACGGATGTGCTCGCGTCGCATCTCCAGATCCTTTTCGCGCTCTTCCCGCTCCCAGGGATTGCCGCCGCTGTGAAGCGCCCGATTGGCCGCCTGGTTGGCCGGCACATAGCTGCCCTTGGGGGGATCCAAAGTGCTGGCCACATAGTTCATGCCCGGAGCCAGTTGCTGCGAGGCCTTGTACAGCGGATGCGTTGCTGTGGGTGGCAGCGGCGGCTTGTCCTCCGCCATCAATGGTTGCCCCAGGTAGGCGCCCTGGGCCATTCGCTGTTGTTGCTGCTGTGGCTTGGGCGCCGTGCTCGGTGGAGCTGCTGGCTTATTGGGGGATTGCAGGCTGCCCAAGGGCTTTGGTGGCAGGGCTATGAAGTTGGGCGACGGCTGTTGCTGCTGGAGCTCGTAGAGCGTGGGGGGTTCATGGAGCTGGCTGCGTCGGTACTCCAGGCCACCGTTCTGATAGCCTCCTCCGAACTCGTTCACATTCTGCATGCTCTGGCTGCTGCTCATCAGGGGTTGCTGCTGGTGCTGCTGCTGCTGTTGCAGGGGCAACTGTGGCTGCTGCTGTTGTTGCTGCTGCTGCTGCTGCTGGTGGTACATGTTGCTGATGTTGGGCATCGATGGAGCCATCATGTGCTGCATGCGCAGGGTGTGCTGGAAGTTCTGCTGGCTCTTGGCGCGGTTGTTGAGGGTGAGCTGGTGCTGTGGCTGCTGCTGGCCATTGAGATTGCTGCTGCTGTGGGCGAACTGCTGCTGCTGCAGGGTGTGCTGCTGCTGCTGTTGTTGCTGCTGTTGCTGTTGCTGCTGGAGCTGCTGCTGCGCCGTCTGCTGGCTGTGGTAGTAGGCGGAAACGGGACGAGTGGGCGGCAGGTTAGCGTTGGCCTGCAGGTGCTGCTGCTGCTGGTAGGGCGACGGTTGTTGCTGCTGCTGTGGCAGAGTGGCGGCTGCAAGCGGGGAACTGCCATTGTACCCGCTCATGGCGGCATGTGCGGGCATCGGCGGTCTGCGGAAGAGAACCAATCAAAGCAGTGGGTCAGTAGGCGCTCCCAGAGGTGGCAAAGGGGCAAGGTGGTGTTGCTCTTGGTGGGGTAACACAAACATAATCATTTGGACTAATTAACCGAAACGTGTCGAGTGCGTCGAGGTACAATCCCTCTTATTCTCATCCTCAACAAGTGGCGTGTGTTTATTGCAAAGGTGCGTGCTTCTGTACAGCAGCAACATTAAACAGAACATCGCTAATTACTCACGTACTTGGAACATTTCTACAAGTTGATAGTCTTTCTTAATGGGTATGAAGCCATAAAGTAATTTCTTTAAACGCAATGTCATCCTAGAATTACACACACGAGAGTTAGCAACAGTTTAAGCTGACATTGAAACCTCCTGCAACCGCAAACAACACGCTTTTCAAGAGCGGCTGACACGCCCCAGAACAACACCCTCAAAAACACGTCCACAATAACAAGTTCACTGTAAATTATTAATTTTACCCTCTGGTTTTGTTTCCTTTATGATGTGTTTGGTCTGATTTTTTGTGGCTATGCTGAAAGTCACCAGCAGACTTTAAAGCCACACAACATGGTCCTAGCTCCTTAGAGTCGGAATTTAAATCAAAATGAATAACAAAGTATACCTCTCTTGACCTTTTCTAATCAAGTTCTTGGTGCAGTTTGTGTTGGAAAACCCAACAATCTAATTTCCTCAATAAATTTCGTAATTTAAATTAGTTCCTACCAACCGCACTAATCACAAAAGACCCTGCTGGTCACTTTTCGAAAATATTTTCTCCCCAAAACCCATCACAAACCCGGCAACCAAAATCAAAGCAAACCAAACAATTCCGTCCAAAACGATTTTAGTGGTCAGCTGGACATAACCGAAATTCTAAATGTCAGTTTACAGAGGCTATATATGCATCTATATGGGTACAGCAGGGTCCATCTTAATATGTCTGAATATTTTAAACTTTAAAGAACTATAATAAATTTAAAACTGGTCTTAGTTGGTATTATTCTAGTAAGTATCTCTCTAACTTGCCATAAAAGCTTCTCTCTAACTATATCCTATAGTCTATATCTATCCTAGATTATAGCTATAGCTTTATCCTCCCTATATACATTACCTTTCATTCAGTATCGGCTGACTCTGATTCTGTGCCCGATATACACTGAGATTCTGATAGAATCCCTGCTCGTTGCCGTTCCCATTGCCGTTGCCATTTCCATTTCCATTTGCATTGCTGTGGCTGCCATTTGGGTGACCCAGCATTCCGGCTCCACTACCGACTCCTCCTCCTACTCCTCCTCCTATGCCCATGCCCGATGTATTGTTATGCAAACTGTGCGTGCTGCGTGACTTTGAATTGGCCAGGGCTGTTGGGAGAGAGATTGTGGAGGAGAAAAATGAATTAGTTACTGGCTTAAAAGTCGATTGGATTCCGCTCTCAGAGGAGGTGCACACAGCTGGTCGGTTAGAAGGATGGAGGGAGAGTGCATTTCACTTACATATGGTACCCGATCCCGTGTGGTGATGCAAGGCCGGCACCGACTTGCTGTTCGGAAGGTGTGCAGCTAATGGATTGATGATGCTACTATTGTTGCTATTGCCGAGGGTGTTGCTATGGCTGCTGTTCAGGTGCTGGCTGAGACTGAGGCTGTGATTCGGGTGACTGTTGGCCAGCAGTGGCCCCAGGGACTTGGTCGACTCGGCGCCGCCCATTCGCGTCAGGTCGCGCTCGGACATACGTCGATTACCTGGTGTTTGGTGTTCCAGATTCCCAGCAACATCATCAACGAGAGTGCATAGATCGGGGGATTAGAGTTCGTGATGGAATTGTGGTTGGTTGGTGCGCATGGAGGAGCGGAAAGGATATAGAAGTAGTTGGATATATTAGTAAAATATATATTTTTTTGAAAACTCTGGTTAGTTAAGGATTATAAATTAATATAAATCTAATTACACAACTACAACACATACGAAATATACAACAAAGCAACAAAGCCAGGGAATAAAGGTCGGATATGTCCTGTTTTTGTATCCATTCGATGGCATTACGGCGAACTCATAAAATTTTAATTCAATTTTAATTACAAAGCCAACGGAAAGCTCAAAAACTGAATAGCCAGCACGGCTGCAATAAAATGCAATTAAATTTGAAGTGCCGGCGGAAAAACTGAATATTAAAATGCCAAAAACACAAAAGCGAACATATTTCCTACAAAAACAATGCAAATAAATAATATTTACAGAGGAAAGGATAACGGCAGCGTTGAATCACAAAATAGCTATGATTACGAGGATAATCCTACAATCGAAATGAATAATCTATCTAGTTCTAGGACTAGGACTAGGACTAGGCTCTAGGCAGGCAGAACCAAAGGCTAATAATAATACAACAACGGGAGAACAACATGAACCTCGGTGCTGCTTGGCTGGGTTGTCATCTGTGTGTCGGACACATGGTTTTCGATGAGCTTGGTGGTCCCAGTGGCTTGGTGTCGACACAGCGCCCCCCTCCGGCCACACCATCGGCATTATCCCCATCATCAGCAGCCCCACCTGCTCGAGCTTTGTGCGAATCGCAGTGGGCGGCATAGCAGCTGGAGGATGACTCCCCGCCAGAAGAGCACGACTCGGCCTCGCTGCAGCTGCAGGAGTAGCAATCCTCAGTGGTATCCCCGCAATTGGGACAGCTCTTTGAGCTCATCTTATTGCTGCTGGGAGTGTTGCCACTGGCACTGCCACTGCTGGCCAGCGAGAGTAGCAATTTGGCCGTGGAGGGCGGCGAGGAGGGTACAGCTGGTGGGCAATGGTGCGGAGGCGGGTGATGATGATGATGGTGGTGGCGGCGCCTCTGGTGGTGGCAAGGATGGGGGCTCTGCTTAGCCTTGTTTAGCTGCTTCTGCTGTTTGTTGCGCTTCAGTTGCCGCACACTGTGCGCCTGCCGGTTGCTGCACATGACACTCCGGCGGCAGCTTGCATAACGGGACATTTCCGGCACTGGTTCCGGCTTCGGCCTGGCCTCTGCTTTGACCTCGTCCTCCTGGCAACTGTCGTAGCACTTGAAGGTGGAAACTGTTTGTTGCCTTTCCGCTTGGTGTTGCTCCTTCTCGGAAGAGGATGCTTTTCCCCGACAATGTCCGCAGCAGGGGCACTCGCAACCTGTCTTGCCTTCCGACTTGTCCGGTTCCGCGTCGTAGTCCTTGCCGGCACTGCCGTGCAGGCTCCACTCTTTCAGCTGCTTTAGGATGTGTCCCTGCTCCGCCTGCGACAGCTTGGGCTTGGGCTTGCCACCGGGATCGTCCAGTGCCGAGGTTGATCGCGACTTGTTGATGCCGAGCGGAAAGTCCTTGTGGGTGTTGAAGTAGGCGGCCATCTCACGCACCTTGCCCTGACCCAGGGGCAACAGAAAGCGGGGACTGAGGTTCGCCTGGCTACTAGCCCGGCGGCAGGTGGTGCTGGGGGTTGTTGTTGTGGTGGTGTTGGTGGTGCGGGCACAATATCGATTGCTTGTATTTACAGAAGGAGGACGGGTGCAGGAACTTTCGATTTCACAGACACTAGGAACTTGGATGCTGATTATGGGGGCTGTCGCCATTGGGGCGACTCCTGACCTTTTGTGCGACCGCTGGGTGTTCAGCTGGCGGTGGCAGGGCGACTGACTCTGCCGCAGCAGGGGCATCCGCTCGATGGACTCGCTGGAGGAGCGCTGGCTGTTCGAGCCCGAGCCCCCGGAACTGAAGCCATCCGCCGTGCAGTTGGTGGCCCGCTTGCTGTTCAACTCGCGGCGTATCTTCTGGATCAGGGGCATCCGCTCCGACTGCTCGGCCATCAGGGACTCAGTGGACGAGTCCCTGGCCGCGTAATGGCTGATGGCGTCGTGGGTGTGGTACTTTCTGTCGATTCCAGTGGCCCCCACCTCTGGCGGCTCCGTTTGTTCCAGATCGAAGCTGACCGTTTTCCGATAGCCTGCTGCTGGGTTTCTCTTAACCGTGGAGGAGGAGGACGCACTGCAGCTGGCCATGCAGGGACGCTGCTGCTGTTGCTTCTCCTCCTCCTCGTCGTCTATGAAGGGAATCTCATCCGAGTGCGCCACGGAAGCAATGCCCTCCTCGTTCAACGGCTGGTGGGCGTCACTGTAGGCCGCAAAGTTGCCAAAGGACTCCTGCGAGGTGCCAGCCTCCTTGGCCGGCTCGTCCTGGTACTCCTCGATGTAGATGGACGGTGGCGGAGTCCTCCTCAGCGGTCGCATGGGGCTGAAGTGAGTCACCGACGGGGCCATGGGGGGCGGATGGTAGTATCCGGCCTGCTCGTTGGCCAGATACAGACTGCTGGCGGAGCGGGCGATGGGCCTCGTGTCCCGGTACCGCGGATCAATGTGCAGCTGGTGGCCCAGGGCGCAGAGCTCCTCCTGCAGACAGGAGGCACTCAGACGCCTCACCGGCGGCGACGAGGCCCTCATGCAGGCGAAGGACTCGCGGCGACTCCGGTTCAGACTGTCGTCCGAAATGGAGTTGCTGTAGTAGCGAGCCTGCTGCTGGAACGAGGAGTGGCGCCGCTGCTGGCCGGAGCTAAGATGCGGATGCTGGAGGAAGTTGCTGGCAGGGGCGTCTAGCGATTCAGATCGATTCGAGCGGAGCAGCATGGGTAATGGGTTGTTACTTGGTTAGCTTACAGTACAGTGGAGTAGACGGGTATTAGTGAGTGTCTTGGATGTGGAGAGAGTGTGTGGAGTGTCTAAGCGTCCTACCCATCACCTGGAGTCGCTCTAATGTGTGTTTGTGTGTGTGTGTTTCTTGGCATATGTGTGTACGGGTTATGTTATCTAGCTGGACGTCTGACGTGAGGATGGGACGGTTACTCACCACGCTGGATGACCGGACTAGGTTGCTGTAGCAGTGTCGCCAGTCCGTGGTAGATGGCTCCCTGCTTGGCTACCTCCAGGCTGACCACCGGGCCTGTTCGCACCAAGTAATCCGCAGCCCTGAACGGAAGAGTATTAACATTTCATCCAAAGGGCTCTTTCGGAATACATACCTTTCCTGGGTGATGCCAATAAGGCTTTGTCCATCTACGCGGAGCAGCTGATCTCCAGCCTGCAGGCGGCCATCCGCATCGGCCGCTCCTCCGGGCACCACGCTCTTGATGTAGATCCCCAGCTTCTCCTGACCGGCCCCCTTGGCCGCCACTATGGACAGGCCCATGCCGTTGCTGTTTTTGTGGAGCTTGATCAGCTGGAGTTCGGGCTGCGGCAGCTTGTTGGACATTGCACTGGAGCTGCGGGCCTGCAATGGAGATTATATAGACATGTTAGAGACGATGTGGTCTAAGCAGTTCAGTAGCAGTACTCACATTGAACTGGTGCATGTAGACCGTCCAGAGCCCAATCGACGTGGGTTGGGCTGCCAGCCGGCACATGCCTTGCTGCTGCAGAGGATTGAGGAAGTCGACCAGGCCGGTGGGTATGCTTCGGACCACGTCGCAGCTGAATCCGTCATCGGGCAGTAGCAGCGCCAAGTGAAGCTCTGGCGACTCCTCCAGGCGGACCTCGCGTCCATCGGCGCGGGTCAGTTCGTCGGCCACGGACTCGGCCATCCGGATGGCTGTGTCCACCAGGTTGCGGGGCAGCTTCTCCTGCTGCAGCAGGGCGGCCATTTGAAGAGAGTTGAGACGGAAGCAAGAGCACGCCAGCTGCTGGATCTCCTCCACGGAGGACTTGGGCGCCTGCAGGAACTGGGCGCACTGGTTGATCTTAGCCAGGTGGCAGTCGGCGGCCAACTCCAGACCCTGCCGCTCGGCCCACAGCTCCAATAGCTGGAGTCGCTCAGTCATCACCTTGCCCCAGTCCGCCGTGCACATGTGGGAGTTCGCCACAATCTAGAAGGGATGAAGGTCACAAGAATTAGAAAGCCTGTTGGAGGGAAGGTTGGAAACCCGTTAAGGATTCTGGCCCTTCCAGGCCGCTCACCGTATTGAAACATATGACATTGATGTAGTGGAACAGCTGGGAGAAGAGCTGGATGGTGAGGGCGGCATTCACGCGGCACCTCCTCAGCAAGGCCATGGCGGAGCCCAGGACGGTGAGCACTAGTCCCGCCGCCGAGTCGTGGTCGATGGTCTCCGAGAGAAACTGGTTGAGAGTCTGTGAGAGCTCCAGGCGGAAGCAGTTGACCAGGTTGCGGAACGCCGTCTGGACCGCCTCGGCCAGCACCTCCTGGGCCTGGACGCTGAAGGCGCTGATGTGGCGGTCCGACTTCAGGAAGTGCAGAAACTCCGAGCTGTTGGCCATCCAAAAGGCCAGGATCCGGGGGTCGGTGTACTGTTCCTGGACCACGCTGTAGACCAAGTTGGCCACGTGGTGCAGGAAGATGGTCAGCTTGTGGGCGCGCTCCGTGGGCTGCAGCTCCGGGCGGTAGTGCGTGGAGGCCCGGTATCTGGATAATTAAAGCAGAACATGTTGTTTAATGAGATGATCCATATTCGTAGATCCGCCCGTGTAACCCCATTCGTGTCTATTGATTTTCACGCCTGTCAAATGTCAAAGTTCCCTCTGGCCCCCCGCATACGGGTTTCTTGCTGCTGTCTGTTCCTGCCAGACCCTCCCACTTCCCCCTGCCAGGACACATTAATATTAATAGCTCACAAATTGGGTCAGCAGCCAAGATAAATCATCATAATTGATAATGAATTGTTGAAACTGGACTGCTGGCGTCGATGGGGGAGGGGGAGGATGAGGAGCATGTGCGTCAAGTCTGTCCACTTTATGACCGAACATTTGTCAGATGGTGTTAGCTGCCCTGCCCTCAGTCCATGTCCTTGGGGCCTTGTTAAATGGTGCTTTGGTTTTCGAATTGAAATATAAATGGATTTATTCCAAAACAGATTACTTCGGACAACCATTAGACGCTCTACTGATAGTCAAGGTCCTTGGACAACCAGTACATGGATGAACTCTGAATGATTAAGCTCTGAACTCTGAATTAAAGGCAATTTGTATCAATTATCTGCATCAAATAGACTTGTGGGGATTACAATTATAAACCCATTTAAAGTTGATTTAAATTTAAAATTAAATCCTTCAACTAAAGGATATCATATATCTCCCAATATTAGTATTTTAATATTATTAATCCAGGCAGCAAGACAACAATCAAAGCCGAGCCAGCCCAGCTCCATGCCCAAGAGACACAGATTCGAGTACTCACCTGGCGCACAGGTAGAGCGAGTAGACGGGCGCCAGCTTAAAGTGCGGAACATTTACATCCAGCTCACTGATGATGTGACGCAGAAAAAGCTCCTGGTGCGTCTCTGGAAACTCAAGGACCGCCGGCAGAATGGGCTCTTGTCCCTGCCCGTCTCCGGAGCCGCTGCCGCCGCCGGCCATAAGACCAGACCCTGGCATCTTGGGTGACCTATATGGGGTTAATCGATTAGTAAGTCACAACACAACGGTCAAGGTGAGGGTTTAAAGCAGTTAGGACATTGCAAAAGTTAAATAATAGTTTGCAAACTTTAAAGCGCACACAATAATAAAAATTAAACTTTAATAAGACAGTGAGGCACACGAATGTATGTCTTTATGGTTATGTGTGTGGAACTAGTGTCTGATTTCCTGTTTCGGGAGGATTATTAATGTTCCTTAGAGAAGATATTTAATATTAAAGTTTAGGGTATATCCAGGTCATAGCCCTTACCGATCCTGGCTGGTGGAACCACCTGACTTCATGCTGGAAATCGACTTGGTCTCGTTCTCCAGGTTGCCCTCCAGGCTTTGGCCATCGTAGCCGCCGCCCACCTGATCCTGTCCCGCCTTGCTGTCCACCGTGTCTCTCAGGGTGCTGCTGAGGGGATGGTCACTGGAGTTGTTGTTGTTGTGATAGGCACTCGACTGGTTCGACTGCTGATGATGGTCGTAGTCGCTTTTGTGGGTCTTCAAGAACAACAGGAGAGAGGTTTAATATTAAAGCTGCTTTTCTGTTGAAGACCTGAGTATACTCACCGAGCTCAGGGCTCCATCCTCGTCGTTCCAGGAACCGGGGGATGTGGGTGAGCGACTGCCAGGTCGACGTGGTGGTGGTTGGATGTTCGCATCGTTTTTGAATTTCGGGTGGTTGTGTTCATGTATGAGTGGTGGGTGGATGGGTGGTTGTGCAAATTGTTTTGCATATTTTTGTGTAATTTTTGTCGGTTTGGTGAGTGCATGAGATTAATGTTTTACACAAACAATAAAAACAAACAACACGTAACGAAACAGAACGAACATCAAAATAAGGCGTGTGAATAAAATAAAAATAAAACAACAAACACACGCATAAATATAAATATACATATATGAATAATAGCGCAGCATAGCATTCTCAAATAAATATGAAAAATATTCCACAAATGCTTCCTCGACTGAATTAAATTAAATTTACATTTTCATGCATTCTAGGAAGACTCCAAAGTCGTAGATTGGCTCGGCTATTCATAAACAGAATATGTGAACCAGGTCCTCAGCAGAGTCCTTTGATACATAAATGCATTGCATAACTTTAAGAGGCACTAAGTGCCTTTCATTAGTTTAATTAAAGTTTGTAAAATATTTAAAGACTCGACATTTGCTGGCAAAGCCTTTGGCGGATGAAGCGCAAGCGTGGCATATTTTTGGGAATTTTTTAACAAAAATCAGGATCACTTACCTCTCGTAGAGACATGCCGAGTCCAACTGGGACTGGGACAGGGCCAGATTGTAGCGTCCGTCCGTGGGGGAGTCGAGGAATCGGTAGGAGGCCACGCGTCCAAACATCACAACCGAGCCGTTCTGTAATTACCAGATGGCGGTACACATACGAGTATGAATTAATTAATTATCCAGACGAGGGTTAATGTGTTTAAAAAGCAGTTAAGTGATTTAATAATTGTAATTAATTGCGGGCCATTGTTCAAATATTTACACTGCCGTTGGGGGGAAGAGCCGTTCGAAGCGCACTGACTGACAGTTTCGGTGGCACTGCAGAGTGCGGTGGAGTGCGATTGGAAAATTTTCGGGGCGTTTCGAAACTGCCTAGCTAGAGACGCCCCTCTCTAGGGGGAGATTCAACGAGATCTGTGTTAATTTTTTTGTGTGTTTTTACAACCGACTATCTCTGAAGCGTTTGTTTGTTTAAGCTCCCCCCCTCTCTAATGCTGATTAGCTCAGCGGATTGGACGCTTCTTTGACACACACTCGGTGCCGAAAAAGGGATTTTAATTTTGCACTTTTTTTTTGTTTGGGTTCATCGAGCCGCAGCCAACCTCAATTTGGCAATTGGAAACAAAATTAGTTCCAAACAGAAGCACACAAGGAGCAAACAAAGCCAATGATAACAAAAAAAAATGTTAAACAACAAAAGTTGCTCGCTGAATTAAACAAGAACGGGGCTTAGGGCTTCGACTATACGATACCCGCTACTAGTCGGTTATTTTTCGAGAAGCCTTATATCTTATATATATATACTTATTCCATCCCCCTGCTAATCCCTGCTCCTTTACTGCAAAAAAACTCTCTGGAGACAGTTTGAGGTTATTGTCGAGCTGCGAGCTTATCACTGCTTTGGATTGGAACTGAAATTCGGGGGAAATGTTGAAGTTTTCTCTGTTTATTTGGCTTCAAATTTATCAAGCGGAAAGTCAAAAGTAACCAAACAAAAACACAAAAAGCTTACACAACGCCAGCAAATTTTTTTGTCTTGTTTTCATTGGCGTTTTCCCCTCTGACTTTTCTGGTAATGCGTGAGAACGTCGAGAGCCAATTTGATTAATTTCCCCAGTTCCCGGTTACCAGATACCAGCTCACAGTTCCCAGTTGCCAGTTGCCAGTTTTGTTTGTGTTTCCGTTGTGTGTCGAAAAGTTGTCAAAACAAAAGATAAATCAGCGGCAAGTCAAAAGCTTGTGGGATGTGCCAGCCAGCCAGCCAGCCACCCCGCACTGGTGCAATACTTGTGGTTTTATTGCTTTTCCAACTCGGGCCGGGACCTGATAATGAACTTGAAGTGCAAATGAATGGGAATTGAAAAGTCGACACAAGTTCGGAATTCTGTCGATAACTGTCAGGGTATGTACTGTTTATCGGTCTTTGAAAAACATTAAACTTCTCTAGAAATATTAATGACCTTCGCCCTTAAATCACTTGCGACTTCTCTCAACCCTTGAGTGTAAATCAATTTCTGAGCTCATTTATCTTTCAGTTCGTTCCATGAACCGATTCCAAAGTTGCTCCTATAAACGCACCCAGTAAGCCGGGACGATTATTGGATTGGAACATCTCAGACAGGCGAGCCACGAAAAGCCCACAGAATTCAAAGGGACAACCCAGAACTTTGGCCCGGATCTTAAGCAGTTTAAAGTTGGCGCGGGTCAAGGTCGCAGCTGAAAACTTTCCCCTTGCAGAATGGCCTGACGGCTGGCAGTAAACAGTCGGCATCACATTAAGCATACGCCTGGGGTGACGCGACAGAATTTCAACTAATTAAGCTGAATTATTCGCAATTAGCTAATGGAAGAGATAGCCGAAAGGTCGCTCCAACGACTGCACCACCAGTTATGTAATTCTTTCGAAGGAAGTGTAGTTGGTACTCACATGCAAAATGGTCGGCTGGCTGATGTGGTGGCCATTGACAAAGGTCAGGGCGTCGGTGTGCAGCGGGGTCACCGTGCAGACGCCCTCCAGCAGCGAGATGAGGCAGTGCCTCGGCTGGATCGAGGGTCCAAACAGCTGCAGGCAGTTGGTGTTTGCAGATCCCACCTCCACTGGATCGCTGCCCAGCTTGATGCGCCGGCCGCCATCGCCGCTGTGGGTCACCTCCACCAGGACAGGTCCCTCGCGATCGCCGGACATGTGGTTGGCCCCATTGGACGCTCCCAGTGGCTTCTTTTTGCGTCTCCGCGGCTGGGAGTCCGCCGGCCGGCGCCGCACGTGAAACATAATGGAACCTAGAAGGGGAAAAGGTGGAATATGATTATTTAATAAAATTATAGGCTTTCTTAGGTAGTACTGGCTATGTTCATTCTTAAAATCTTGCTTAAAAATAAACGCAGATGCAGCTTTTAGTCGCCTTTTGTCTTTTGTGTCTCGATGGGAAGTGCAGTTTAAGCTGAGTGGGGCGGAATATTAAATCTCAGATACAAACACGGATGATTGACAGCACAGTGGAGGCAATGAATATTGGGATATGGTACAGAGAATGATAGTATGGAGATGGAAACCATAGTTATTGTAGAATCTATACCCAATATAGACGACCATCAGTGTTGGAGGCAATCACATCGCAGCTCGTCGGCGGAGACAAAGGCGAAATAGAAATTCCAAAAAACGAAATCAAATTCGGGCTGCATCATCAGTTTCAGTCCCGGTATTGGATGAACGTTCAACTTGGCTGGGTAGGGGTGGACCTGGGGGGTGGGAGTAGGATCCAGTGACTCTGCCTTGAGGTCAGACCCCCGGCTTGACAGACTGAATAGCTGAGTGACTGGCGGAGCAGACAGTTGAGGGCCAAGTTTCTGTTTGCTAGTTCTTTTCTAATAAAATCTACGTATATTCTACAGAGGTTAGGTAGAGGGTCTATATGGTATGGTTAAAGTATCTTGTAGTATACCAACAGACTTTATGGGCAATAATTTAATTCCTAACCCTTTTATAAATGCCATGTCTTATTAAACTACCTCTAGTCAGCTCCATCCAAAGGCACTGTGGCTGGGAGGATGCCCCATATGCCTCATCACAACCCCCATCCAAGTGCTGTTGTGTATTGTACAGAATGTTTAACGAAGCGTGCAAAATGTGATGGCAGTAACAGCTCCCTTCCCCGCTCCCGAACTTGCCTCGTTTTTGGGGCAAATTGCAGCAGCAGCAGATGAGGAGGATGACAAGACGGAGCTGGAGAAGAGCAGCTCTGGCATGTGCCAAATGCTTTTGGGCAATGCAAGCTAAATAAGGCGTGACATGGGGGTGCCACTGCTGCTGCAGCTAGTTGGGGGCGTGGTATGTGCAACTTATTAAGCCAGCAGGGAGCCAAGCAAGAAAAGAAAAGTGCCCCTCCAGGGAAATTTTGGCCATGCTCTCAATTTGAAGAACTTCAACAAAAAGTAATAACAACAATGGATATCCAAGAACAACAGAAGCTATACAGTAGTACACACACACACCAAATGAATTGTATTTCTATTGTATAATACCTCTTTTGCGAAACCAAAAGAACCACATCTGTGTTTATTGTTGGCGTTGTTTGAACAGAATTATTATTAATATATGTATGCCCTACACACATGCCGTGTTTGCTCTCTGTTCTGTTCTGTTTTGATGTCGAAAACTTTACCGAAAACTTTTCTCCAAGCGCACAAAATAATCAACTCAAAAAAAAAAAAAAGGAACATAAAGCCCAAGGCACAAGGCAGTAGCAGAGAACACACTGCGTATACTTGATGTCGATTGAGGCTTTCGATGGGGATGACTGAATAATCTCCTTGTTTGGATTGCAACTTGTTCAACTTTGGGCTAGCTTTGGGCTTTGAAAGGCTACAGATATTTGTCGGATAATACAGGGCTTATGAGTAGGGACTTCCATAAATTTATTAAGAGAGTAACTCACTCTCAAGCCCTCTAACTAGTTTAGGCCAACTGCCAATGACAGTTGCCAATAATTGAGTTCCCCAGCCGGTAATTTATGGTAGCACCAGCCCAATGGAGGCACAATTGTAAATCAATCAGCAAATGGACAAGTTTGACACCAGCAGACGACAGGTTGTTCGACCAGAATCACTCATGCATACGGAAACAGGACACGGTTTCGCCCCGGAACTCTACCAGAGTGGGGAGGGAGGGAAAGAAAAAACTGTACCAAGTCATTCGTTGAAAACTTTATTAAAACTACTCTTCCGAAATGATAGATACTCGTGGGTTTTTTCCTGTGCAGGCAGGAGGACGAAAGTAAACACTGTGTCCTTGGCAGTTGACATTTGAAAAGCTGAAACGAGGGGGACGACATTGATAAAGTGCAATGCCAGGCGGAGAACAGAAAAATCATTTTAATTGTTCCAACTTGGTCAACAGCTTGGCCAGAGGCAGGGCAAAGGTAGGACTACCCACTCACTCCCAGTACTACTGCCAGTGCCATTGTTGACACAAGAAAACGAGCAAATTGCAAAAGGCATCAAAGACAAAAGGGAGGTGAGTAGGATTCACTGCCAGGATCATGTGTGGAGACTCCAACCTCCAACTGGGCAACTGGGCAGCTCTGGGTGTCTGTGAGTTTATTCCATTCTACCAGCACGTGCATAAGTGCGAATAAAATGGCGTCCCACAACAAAGGGCAGCAGGAAGGTAGGGGGAACATTTTTCAGAAAAAAAAAAACAATGCAGGAAAATTGCATAACGAGTTGACCGAATGGATCCACCACCTCCCCCCCACCCCAGGTAAGCCACAGTCATGCGGCCAGAGGTGCGCCTGCCCTGTCCGGCCCCATCTGACCATCAATGTGTGGATGTGTCCTGGACAGTGGAGCCACCAAGCGCTGGGCACATTAATTTTTATTAGCCCAGCTCGTGTTCTAATGGCCCAAGCGATTTGAAGAGGAGGTCCAGACGAGTTGGTCAGAACGGCACTTGCAGGCATAAATCAGAAAAGGGTCTTCAGAGCCCTGGGTATTCAGGTTTTTAAGAAGGACCTGGTCATCAGAGATTTCCTCAAGGAAGCACTTTCAAACCTTTCATCTTAAATTAAAAATATTAAAAGCCTCCAGAAGAGTATCCAAAGTGCAGTTTGGAAAATGTTGGTAATTTCATTTGGCTGTTTTTAATTAGTCGACCCAAAGGCAGAGGAGAAAAGTTTTGCATCAAACTTGTCAGCAGGAGAAGCAGCAGCAGCACATGGCTGTTAGAACGGAAAAGCCCGAAGAATTTAATTAAAAGTATAATTTATAAAAAAAAAAAAAGTGAAAATATTTTAGAAGAGAGAACCAACCTCGTAAACTAATGCTGTGAATGGCAAGGGGCGCCCTTTGTTTAGTCTAATTGACTGAGATTGATTTTAGCAGAAGCTGGCCGGGCCCTTAAATTAGCCAAATTAGTCGTAAAACGTGGCGACTTTGAGACTCTGCCAACCAAAGAAACCAAACCGAGTGCGGCCCACACTCCGCCCAGGCACGTCCAGGCACATGGGAAACTCTAACCACTGAACCGCACTGGCAGCCACACCGCCCTGGGTTTGTCTTTCCACACAGTTGGGAGTGGGGTGGGGTGGTCTCTCTGCGTTGCGCAAATTAAAACAATGAAAATTTAATGAGCCAAGTTGGCCTCTCATACAAGAAGTTCACCTCCTTTGACCAGGAAATCTGGACAGGAGACAGCGACAAGTTTAAGCCTTGAGTTTAAGCCAAGAAACATTATATGAGATGGGGGAGTTCTAAGTTGAACAAAGATACTCTGAAAGATACTCTGACTAAGATTAAGACTAAACTGACTGTTTAATCAACTGCTCTTATGGATAAATATTTATCAAGTATCTCTCGTGGACTCTTCCAATCAATTGAACCAAAAGATAATCGCCATCAATGCTCAAATCCAATTATCTGCCAGAAAGTAGAATTCCCTCTCTCCCCCGTAGACTCAACCAATCTTCGCCAGCGCCATTTAAGTCAAGAGCTGCCCCAGGCGGCTATCAACATTTTTGCTAGACAATTTGGCAACAGAAACAATAAAAATATAATTGCCACACTCAGCCAGAAGATGCAGGGGATGGATGGAGGCTGGATCCCCTCTTTTTTTCTGAAAATCCAAGAAGGAACACAAAGTGTGAGGGTGAAAGGCAGGACCAGAACGAAATCACATTCCCGAGTGGGCGATGGGAGATGGAAGAGGTGGCTGGAGATGGAAATGGATGTGGAAAAGTGAGCGGAGCTGATAGCTTGATTCGATAGCCACAAGAGAACTGGATGCCCTTTAAAAGGTATGACTTTCAACCACCTCCGAACTAATTACCCCTTTTTTGGTAAAAGGTCTTTAAGAAAACCTATACCATCCCTACTCTTGAAATGAAACCCCTTTCTCGTTTGCAGCATTGATGACGACAGACATGTCAGGTCACTGTGTCCTGTGCAGTGGCGTCCTTGTCCTGGCCATTGAAAGGCCACAATGGCCAGCACACACACCAGCCCTGCCTGGTCATATACACAACACACACCAGAGGGAAAAAAGCGTTTAGCTTTCGTAAATAACTCCTGAAATTTATCGATTTTTGTCTGTTTGTTTTGGCCGGGCTCCCAGGAACTGAGCAACCGCCGAACCACCAAGCCACCGAGCCGGTGAGGTTCCCCTTACAGACGTATATGCCAGCATTTTTTAGGCAGTGGAAGGTTCCTAAAAAATTACATTTTTTATATGACTTTGGTGAATTAATGGCACGAGGGCCGAAAGCAGATTGGGCCAAAAAAGTAAAAGCCGGCAACGTGTGAAAATTCAATTTACGCGCATGGGAATGCAGTGACGAGGTATAAATTGAAATCAAAGTACGGTAGACAAGGTAAAAAGTGAAATTAAATGAATTTCCAACAAATTGAAAAGAAAAACTCACAGACACAGACACAAAAAACAGAAACACAGAAAATATTGACACTTTGGGGCAACCGCAAGCGCGACGCGTGGTTTGTGATTAATTTTATTTTTTATTTAATATTTCTTTTATATTTTTTTAAACTAACTAACCGTATGGAGAGAATATCAGTCTCGGCGGCGGAGGCCTGGCGCCGGGCGGCCACAACAGCTAACGTTGACAGCGCGCAAGGATAACTGAGAGCACACTGAGCGTATGAGCAATGCGGCAAAGGCAGGTCCTCCGCTGACTAACTCACTGCCGGACTGGGTGCGTGAATGAATGAATGAATGAATAAGACACGAAAAGCCAGTGAGAGCTCGATAATCGGAAGGGTAGACCAGGAGG